TGAATCATTTCACCCAACAACATATTTTTCGTATGTGTCTCTGTTGACACCTACAGTATGAGTCCATTCCTTTTAATTACCACATGTATTCCAACACTAACACACTATACTTTTTAGACATTCTCTCCATTGATAGGTATTTCATTTGTTTCCAGTATTTCTTTATTCAAACAATGCTGCTGTGAACATCCATAAAATGATTCCTTATGCAAACATGCAAGTATTTGTCGAGGACAGATCATCAGAAATGGACTTTCTGTGTCATGGGTCATGCACACTTTTGGTTTTAATCCTTAGTCTCAACCCTCCAAAGAGAGCTACTGTGTGAGAGTGCTTCGTTTCCCACATACTCATCAATACTTGATATTATTAGTCATGTAAAATATTGCAAATTTGATTGGGAGAAAATAGTATCACATTTTTTGGTTTTCCTGTTTAATAGTGAGATTGGGCATCTTCTGAGATGTTTGTTTACTGGTCATTTGCAATTCATTCTCTGAGAACTGCTTGTTCATATACTTGGCCTGTTTCCTCTATTTTTCCATTATATTGTTATAATATATATTATATTACATATAATCTATTCTATTGTTTTTTTCTTATAATTTATACATTTACACTGTATTGTTATTACTATTATTATTTATATATTCTGAAAATTTCCAGTTTTATGTAGATCCAAATGTGGCTTTTAATATTAAAATTCTTTCAAGGAGAAAAACGACCCTGAGCTTGCTAAGTATCATAAAGCAACCCACCCCGGTGGCGTGTCGCAGACAACCCACCCCCGGCATGTCACAACCAACCACACCTGCGGCGTCTCATAACCAACCACACCAGCATTGTTTCTGTGCAGCTTTAGAGTCACTTGAGGAACTGAAAAATCATTAGAAATCTAGGAAGTGGCTTCCTTCAGTCTCCATCCCTCCACTCATCCTCCTCCAGAAGGTTAAACAGGCAGCTGCCAGGAAAACCTCCTCTCCCTGAACAACAAAATTATTATGACAAAAGCAGAGTTATCTGAATGGGGACCAAGGACTATTTCATCAGTGTCATCCCCTGCCACCCTCTTCCTCATCCTCTTCCGTCGAACACGTCCAACAGTCTTGTTTACATGTCTGAGGGAGACTTCGGATGGTTCTGAGTTGAATATTTATAACTGATTTTTCTAAAGGAAGCTTCATGTTATTTACCTGCCTGTCAGACACCATTGTGAACCGAAGGACACAGAGTCTGCATGTCTAATGATTTAAAGGCAAATGCTTTTTACCCAAGGACATCTTAAAGCTTAAACATTAAAAAAAAAAAAAAAAGTGCTAGGCTATAACTGATTCTTCAGAAACAAAGATCCAACTCAAAGTTGTCAGGCATATACTCTAATTATAAATGAAGTACACTTTCATCATATCCCTATTACCACTTGATTTTTTTTCATAGAGACCAAGAGTAAAGGAAACTAAGTCTCTTTCCCAGAAGCAATTTTTCTGTGTTCTTAGCCTTGTCATCTAGGAAGAAGTAAAACAAAGGTTAAAGGTAGACCAAGTGATTGAAAAACCTTACAGGCCAGAGAGAATGACTGATTCTTAAAGCTGGTTTAACCAAAGTTTGACTTTTTTTTTTTTTTAAAGATTTTTTATTTATTCATTTGAGACACAGGGATACAGAGAGAGAGAGAGCATGAGGAGGGAGAGAGGCAGAGGGAGAGGGAGAAGCAGGCTCCCCACTGAGCAGGGAGCCCGATGCGGGGCTTGATCCCAGGACGCTGGGATCATGACCTGAGCTGAAGGCAGATGCTTAACCATCTGAGCCACCCAGGCACCCCACCAAAGTTTGACTTTTAATTGTAGAAATAAACAAATATGAAAGAAAGATTATATGAAATATGATTATAATATAATGAGATCAGCTTGCTATTGATTTTGCTTTTGAACAAACAGCCCAAGTGTTATTACAGCCCAGGAGCACTGTCCTTCAAAGCAACGACCTTGGAAGAGTGTATGATAATTCAGTGTATGTGGCAATTGCTTAAAACATTTTTCAAACTCCCTTTGGACTTGCCTTTAGAACCAGTTTACACACCCACCAGAAAATGTCTCATTACTTCATAATCACACCACACTGAGGGCGCCCAAACCAGCATTACTTGGTTTAATCACCCCTCTTTCACCAGATTAAAAAAAAAAAAAAATCAAATCCAACAGCAAAGGATGAATATTTGTTATGCATAAAAGAATCAAAAGAATGACCTGCCACCTGCTCTGACAATACTTTGCATTGAGAATGGTAATTACCTTTTGACAAATCATAGGAAATAATTTTACAGGAATACCACTCGTTTTGTGGTCGACGTTCTAATAAATATCATTTTTAATTAGTAGTTACACCTCACAAACACTCAGCATGTTAGAAGGTGGGTACTTCCAGTTTTCTTCCTTCAGCCCAGCACTTGAACCCTTGTGCACCCCAGGTTTCTCTATAGGGCCCTGTCACTGTGCCCATTGTCCCGTGTGCTCTGCTTCCTGGAGCTCAACCCTGGTCTCTTAACTCTTAGCCACTGATTGGTTCACCTGATCTCATTCATGCATCTCCAGCAAATGATTTAGCAAACTCTTAACCTTCTCTTCGCCTGAATCCTGACTCGGCTGGTTCCCAAACAGAAGCCAGAGGTGGGGGGTTGGGGGGGGTGAAATAAAGCCAGAATTTGAACTGGCAGTCATAAGAAGAGGAAAGTTTCAAAGCCTGAATTCATCCCTTTCTACTCAGAGGCATTCAGGGTTCCATCCGCCTGGCTACTAGGAGATAATGTCAGGAGGAATTTAGTGGGCTTGGGTTACACCACGCTCCGTAAGTTAATACAACAATGGAGCACACAGCTGTACTGGGCTATTCTGGCAAGGCCAAATTATTTGTCCAACATGGGAATCATTAGCACCTCATTCATTATTAAACTGGAAAACAGTTTGGTTGGATTCCCTGAAGGGTCAGCTGCCAGATGTAAGCTCAGAAATGAAATCATCATGCTCTTGTGATGGTATTTCTTTAGGAATTTAATATACAAATTGAATAAAGGACCTTTCAGGGAAATTAAAGCCATGTGAATTCCAAGAGTTTGTCTAAGCTTCCACAGTTGAGTAAAATTTCTAAAGCACTTCCCCCAATGCTCTCCCATACCCTAAGCCTTCCTAATTTGATATGAGGAAGAGGACAAATTTCATAGCATGTGCCATCCAAAATTATACCAGAGAGGCTAACAGCTCAGTAATTCCAAGACCAAACAGGTGTGCCAATCAATATCTATGGAACAATTTCTCCAGGCTCTACTGGATGAACCTCACGTAAGAGAGGCTGGTGGACTCCATCTCACATGAAGGTGAAGTGAAACTATGTTGCTCCAAAGTCACCAGCCCACAGATGCCTGAGGAAAACAGATGGGTCAACTTCATGCTGCAGAATTAAAATCTTCCTTCAGAAGTGGGAAAACAAACAAACAAAAAAACAAAGCTGGGGGTCTAACACAAAGTTTTGAATTTGCACATTCATGAACTAAGCATTCCTCTGAGACTCTGAGATGTCTCTTAATACATTTGGATGGCTGGGACCACTTCAGTGTCATCCCACAAAATTCTTTATTTTGCACCCCCACTGATTCTGCCTACAACCTTCCATGGACCAAATTTCCACTGCCGGGGCCACCAGCCAGGTGCGTACTGGCTCTTGGCCATAGTCTGTGCCAGCACAGAACAATACATGTTTGTTTGGAACAAAGCCCTGGAACATCTTTAAAATTGTCAGAAGGAAGGCCTGTTCTTGAAAGCACAGGAATGCCACACAAAATCTAACCTAAGCTCCACGCACTTGTCAAGAGCATGGGGCACACGCATTGTATGGCACAGAATACTTGTTTCCTGGGAAAATCCACCTCCAGAACATGAACACAACAAAAATAAGGGCAACGGGAATCATCCGGGTGTATCACAGCACAATTCTTGGGTTTTTTTTCTACAGTGTTCCTGACATCTGTTTGAATACATGCATTAGCTCCTACCTTTGCATAGTTTACTTTGGAATTCTTCAGTTTCCCTTTACTACCGCAAACAAAGGCAAAACCTTAGTACAGGCGTTTTGCATAGTCTGTGGGCAGAGGTATTTCCTCCAGATTTTCATCTCCCTAGACAAAAAGGAGGAGAGGAAAAGCCAGCCGGGCTGCAATCCACAGGGAGACACGTTGCATGAGCTCAGATTCATTCTGGGGATTTGTCTAGCAAATACTCAAGGGAGAAAGCACATATTGGTTTTGGAAACCAGTTTGGTGAGATGTACCAAGCACGCAGTTTTCCAAAAATGAAAGCATTGACATTTCTAAATCCGATGAGATATTTAAAATACATAAAAAAATAAAGAGAATAATAGCACAAAACCATGTTTGCTATATCTGCTTCCAATCTTTTTTAAATAAAATATTTTACAGAGTTATAGTCTCTTTTTCACCCTTCCCTGAAAATCTCTCTCACCCAGCCAGCCTCCTCAGAGGTAACAATTATCTGGAATTTGATATGTTTCCTTTCCTTCCATGTTTTATTACATAGTCATAGTCAGGTATCCAACGACAAAACATAGTATTGTCTTGCCACACAATTTAAATGTATGTAAATACACACGTACATTTGGTGTTTGTTTGTGCAGGCTTTAAGGAATCAGTTTTGTTTGTTCATTTTTTTTTAACAATGAAAAGATATTCAAATCTACTGAATTCATAATACTGGGCCTGATTAGTCAGAAATCAGACTTCCAAGGCAATATAAATGTTTTACTGAAGATGTCATTTTTCATTAAGAACAACCTCTTGCATTGTTTTTTGTCTAATGATAAAATCACTGATCAAATACACTTTCACAAGCACAATAAAGAAATTAGTTTGGGTTCACTGTAGTAGTCGATCTAGTGAGTTGGTCATTTAAATTTTCATCTGCAATTGACTTTTAAGTACAGCGGGTATTTACCTGACAGAATCAAGAGTTCGATGATCTCTGCATCTCCCAGAAACGCAGCCACATGAAGCGGGGTTCGCTTCTCAGAATCCTGAAACAATGGCAAAGATAAACAAGTCAGTGGAGGCTAGAGGTACCTTCAGTAGACATAATAAGACACGTCATTCACTCTGAGGTTAATGCTTGTGGGAGAGAGTGAAGGCCAGAACCTACTCAGGTGAGCTCTGGGTACACATTTCTCTCAGCATCTCCCACAGTCACATGTACAAAAGATCCCATTCTGTGTCTGTGTGTTGTATTTGTCTCTGGGCTCCTTTTGTTGGAGCCCAGCTCAGGTCAGGGACAGACTATCATGCAACGGATGATGAAATTCAATTTATTTTCAGACCTTCCTTATGGTAAAAAACCAAAAACAAAAACTCAAACCCTTTTACCTACCTTAATAGCAGTGTTCAAAGCATGCAATGATTTGTTTTCTTTCTAAAGGAACATAGTGGAATTGTTCATAAGGACATTAAACATTAAGTACAGTCAGCTTCTCCTTTCCATCTCTATTAACTGTTGCCTAGTTCACCACCCATTCATGTAACACTTACTGAATGCCTACTATGTGCCACGAACCAGATTTGGGGTTCAGTCCTTGCCCTCATAAATTTACATTCAAGTGGGGAGGCTGTCAGTAGTCATGGAAACCAATGGCACATGACATCAATTCAGATGGTGATAAAGGCTATCCCAAAACTAAGACAGGGTAATGGGATCCAGTGACCAGGGAGGTGGGAACAAGATTCCTTAGAACGGTGGAATAAGGCCTTTCTGAGAATACTGACATTGAAGCTGAGAGCTGAGGTAGATATTACTATCTCTGTTTTACAGATGAGAAAACTGTGGCTCAGATAAATTAAGAAATTTCCTCCAGACCCCATAGGTATATAGCAGAGCCAAGATTGGACTTTTGCCTATCGGTCTTCAGTCTAAGTCCTTGGCAAAGCATTTAATATATTGTGTTGTTAACACGATAAAATGCAGGGGGGGGAAATTACTGCTTCGCCATCTGTAAACTGGAATATCTGATGAGAGAATTCAAGATAATGTCGGTAAATAAAGCCCTAGGCAGGCATGAAGCTTGGCCCCTGCCACACCAAGTGCTCCAGGCAAAGCTGTTTTGTCATGAGCATAGATAGTTGTGTGATATCTTGCCCCCAAGACTAAGAACTCCACAGGGTAAAGAACTGGTCTTACTCCTCTCTATCAGAGCCCACAGGAGCAGCAAACTAGATGCTCGGCATAAATCAGCCAAACTGAACTGGTCTATGCGCATTGCTTCTTCTATAAACTTCCCTGACTGTTCCACAACGGTAGCCAAAGTTTGTATGCTATGTCTTTGAGGTTTCTCCTAAAACTAGCATGCATTTTAGTTTCAAGATTTGTGAAGCTGCTGTTGATTTTAATCATTGTTCCTGTTATCACTTGATTATACAACCTACCCAACCACCCTCGGATTTGCCCAAGGACACAATTCTGTTTTCTGACAGTTCAGGCCCTCTGCTCTTTGTCAGTCTCCTTCAGACTACTGCTTTTAGGCATTTTGTGACTCATTAATATCTAAAACAGATGGCAGACAGGAGATATGACAAGAACTGATCTTCAAACCAGTCTATTTGTTAGGAGGTCTGGTAAATAGGTTTCATGAAAGGTTGGACTAACTTTTAAGTGGATAAAAAAAAGAAGTCTGAATTAGCTGGGAATTTATGTCATCTATGTATGTTGCAGGCAATTATTACAGATAAGTGGAAATAGGGCAGTCATGTAACTATACCATATAAAGTAAAGGTATGCCACAGAAAATTCTGAAAGATATACAACCATCGTTCACCGTCTTATAGTTATGTCACACTTTCCATGAAAATAGAGATTCAGTATTTGAAAATTTGAAAAATATTTCAAGTGTATTAATTGGCACAGAGAACTATACAAAGAACTGACACTAGACTTTCACAAATGTTTTCTCTTTCTATTTCTTCTATTGCCATCTCTACAAGCACTTTTTATCTTAGCCTCATATTCTCTTTGAATCCCCACCATATCTATGAAACACTTCTCTTGAGTCTTATGACAAAAGTTACATAATTATATGTTCTTCTGTCAATTGAACTGGTTCCAGGGTTTGGTTCAACAAATTAAACCTTACCTAAGTGATTTAAACAAGGACTAACCAGCCCAAATTATGACTTAATTTGACCTGAAGCAAAGTCAATGCTCTGTCTGAGAGCTTGGCCCTCAAATAAAAAGCCAAGAAAACCCCAATATCTAAAACTGGTTGGCCTATTATTATAAGACTGACTTTGCTAATTCTGTGGCCCCTTTTATGACATGGCTTGTTCAAACTGAAGTTTTTATAACATAAAAGGGGTGTGTTATGTGAGATCACAAAGTAAAAATTCTTGATTGGTACTACCAGTGTTCCTGTTGACATGCATTTAAAGGTTTCCTGTAGCTTCCAGAACAACTATACCAACTGATACCCTCATTCAGTGGCATGCCACACACATGTAACTACAGAGAAGATCTGTATTCAGGCAGCAGTTCTTTGGTTCTCCAAAGTATCACAACTATATAAGCAATTTCATGTGCTGCTAAGGCCTCAACTAAAAAAGCAAAGCACTTAACTAAACAATAACTACTGACCAAGGGTTACCAACACCAGCGCTCTAGCAAGGAACCTGAGTGATATACAGAGTCATGCATGGAGAATAACAGAGCCACAGTAATCACCATCCTCAATCAGGTCAAATCAGCTGGGAGGTTGCAGCTCATCCTCTGCCTAAGGATAAGGCCACTCTCCTTGGCCACAAGCTAGACAAATGGACAAGGAGATGTAATGGTAGAAGAAAGGAAATGAGTCTGAGGAAAAGAGTATACTAGTAATAATACTAGTAAAAATGTGTTCTAGGCCAATGATACCCCTAGGGTTTCTAGAAGAAGAAACAAAACCTAATTATAGAGTGCTTTAATTTTTTTTTTTCAAACTGCCTTTTATCTATTCTACTACTCAAATCTCGTAACATCCCTACAAGGAGAGACACATCTCTCAGAACCTTGTTGTTAAGGCTTATTATCATCATTTGAAAGATAGTGATTTTTTTTAGATTGAAAAGCTAGGGAATCTGCGCATTTGGAGAGATTGTATGATTTGCCCAGCACTTGGGGATGGGAGATGAGGTGAAGAACTAGACCTGACACCCTCACATAGAGAAAAATCCTTGAAGTGGTCTTGAAGAAAGATTCTTGAAATGAATTGATATTGAAAAAAAGCCAAACACTCTCACAGGTAGATGGAAAGGCAATGACTTGGCCTAGATTCCTGATGGGAGAATAAAAGTGTCTCCACTGAGCATTTGCATTCCCAGAATCTGTCCTCATGTGGTTTGGAGTTTTGAATTCACAATACCTGCACAGTCCAGGAACTTTCAAGCTGAAAAATAGGCATAAAATTGGTTCTAGGCCAAGGACATCCATAGGGTGTCAAGAAGAAGAAACAAAACCTGTCTAAAGAGATGTGTCTTCAATACAAGCTACTCAGGACACCCACAATTAAACCACCACTGAAGATGAGCTCACAAGCCTAAGCTGCAAGACCCATGTGGAAGCAATTAACTAGAAGCAAGAATCAGCAGCCATAACAACCAGAAAGAACTTGAGATAACAGAAGAATCAGAGCTATGAATAATGTTTAAAATAATTTAAGATACGAAAGACAAAGCTCAAGAAGAAAAAAAGATTATTTCTTTTTAAATGAACAAAATTTGAGGAAGGAGTGTGTAGGAAGAGTTTCAGAAAGCAGTACAAACACATGATGCTGGCAATCATCTAAGACTTTGGTCTAAGAGAGATGAAAACAAGAAGGACAGGAGAAGAAAAAATAAGGACAGTGACCTTGGGATACGTTTTAGAACCATTTATTCTACCATATGTTCTAGACATAGACCTTTATTGAGAAGTTATTATACCCTAGGCATTGTGGCGGATGTTAGGAATACAAAATTAAAAACATCCCGTCCTCACCCTAAAGAAACTTACGGTCCAGTTACCAGTTTCCAAATCTAGGGCATCTGAATAAAAATAGTAACAGGGAAGTGGCAATTAGTGATATCTGTGATGTTAAATTATTTATGAAAATTACCAAAAGTGATGAGACAAATGTCTTCTCGAATACTGCCCTGAAACTCACCCAATTCCAAACTGCCCTAGGCAGGAAATCTAAACCGACAAGAAAAAATCGCTTCTGAATTGGGAAATAAGTACATCTTGTCCAGGACTCCCTAGAAACCCTACTGGCTCCAGCTTATCTGGAAGCTTCGGAAACCCAGGGGCAGACTTCCAGGTCAGCCTATATCTTACAGGCTGACTTAGGGATTGTTTCTGGATCAAAATTAGAATCGAGGACCAGGCCAGGACCAGAGTGGCATTCAGACAGACACAGTGGCTGAGCTAACTAAGCGTTCTGCTCTTCTGTGTTCACAGCTACTTGCTGCTCCCATGGGTGCTCCGTGATGACCAACAGCGGATAGATGATCATGGCGGTCTTTACAACACCCATGAATGCAAGAGGAGAAAATCATTCAAAAGCAAGCACAGTATGGTCAACACACATGAGAAACACACATGACTCATCAGTGTATTTTTTAAAAGATTATTCAAGTATCACAAAAAAGACCTTTTCCCATTATAGTAGCTCGATTCCAAACAGCCCTTTGAAAATAGATTTGGACCCATGAAAAGTCACAGGTTTCTCCAGAAGGAAGGAAGGTAAACCCTTCCTCTCTATGAATAGCCAGAGACACACACAGCCAGCTGGTGTCTGAGCTAAATTTGCAGTATGTCAGAGAGAGATCAGGCAGAGGAAGTTTCTGTCTGTTTACCAAAGAGGCAGATGAAAGAAAATAGGGAACTTGAAGTATGTACACATAAAGTGAGCTTGACATGGGCAGAGAGGCCATTCTGGCAGACAAAAATACTGTGTAGGGGGCACCCCAAGCCTCTGTTCTGAAGATTAAGAATTGTTTATTATATGCTTTGGAAATTCTCAGC